CAGGCCTGAAATGAGATCCTTGTTTCCTCTCGCTGGTCCTTCCTGTCAGCTCACACACTGTGAGGGGAAATGCAGATCTGCATCACTTTCTACATTATTTTGACTTCAATTGAGACAGATAAGATCATATTTTATAACTACGTATTCAAGAAATGTGTTTTTCAGCACTTCAATGTGTGTTGGAAAAACTGACTTTTTTACTGACTCACAAGTGTGCCTGTGTCCATGCTTCACATACAGGATGTGATGAGCCTCTCTCATGTCCAGGCGGTCTGACTAATGTTATTATCACTCACAGGCAGTCCATTGTCATGTTCCAGTCTTCTACTGCCTCCCCTCTTTGGACAAAACTGCTATACATCAACTGGTTTTTAAGTTTTGTTGTCTGTGTGTGACTGTGTGTGTGTCACTCTCTTGTGTATCACTGTGTGTGTGTATAATCAGCAGGAATGTGCTTAATTAAGCGAGACAGAGTGAGGGGCATAAAGGGGGCAATAAAAGAACAATCTCCCCATTCTGCTGGGTCTCCCCTCCAGGAAATTGGTGACACATGGGGACAGTCATGACAGGAGGAGTCTCTATGAGCCACAGGATGAGGAACATCAGCTGACTAAGTAACTCTAAAGCTTTTGTAAAATGCATATGCATAATGTAACCATGTGTCCAATTTCCTTTGATTGTTATATCTCAAAGTGACACTCATACGGTGCAGATCTCCAGTAAAGCTAGGTGGGAAAAACCAACAGATAGTTATTGCCTCTGACTCATCCACTTGTGTCTGCGTGGGATTTTCTCCGCTCTGCCATGTTTCCTGCATATGTCTCTCAGGGTTGCCAGGTTTGACTAATGGCTGAATATGCTTGTCTTCATGCAGGTCATTCAGTTCCGCCAGGCCCCGAGCGGAGCCAGTGATGACCGCTACATAGATCTGTAATAAAGATGTGGAGAACAGAGAAAAGCATCCAGAGGCTGGGGCTGACAGTTGCCGAGGTAACCCACACAACACATTGAGAGAAGAGCGAGAGGAGTCGGCCATTTTGGGAAAATCATATTAAAAGATAGTCAAAGAATCTCTAAAAACAATATAATTCACGGTCATAGTAAAGCATTTCATAATTAAAAGTCATACAAAAATATCAACGTTTACCATAATAAGTCATGAAAATGTTGAAGTTTTGTTTGCCGGTATAACTATATTATTTTGTAAAATCAAATAGCATAGTTTCCCATAAAAATTACTACAAATATCAAAATATTCATCATACAGAACCATAATATAGTATGGCATAACAATGTAATAAAATAGGTCATAGCATAGTATTTTATAAACATTTTCATAAAAAGTCCTTTACCCTAAAAAAAAGTTTAGTATAGTTTTCAATAAAGAAGTTCATTAAAAACAGATAAACACATTTTTACTGTCAAGTTAACGTCAATCAAAAATAATAGATAAAATAAATTCGAAAAATATATGTGTTTGTGAGCTAGCAGATGGGGATACTTTTAATGAATAAAATAATATTTGTTCCAGTATGTTCTCATAGCTCTTGTGCTTGTGTAATCTTCAGGCAGTAACTCAGTAAAAACCCATTAGCTTGTGTTAGAGTGAACGCCTGATTCATGATCACTTGCATCATCTGGATCTCTGCAGCTCCTCTGTCCCTCCTTCCATCCCCCAACATCTGCAGCAGTGAGTTAAAGCCCAGCTCCTTTTGTTTTGCTTAGTGACGGTCCGTGCGCTATTTATAGCTTCTGTGTTATTGTGTAAGACCTTGTGAAAGGCACAAAGAGCCGGAGCAGGCTGCCATGTTCCCTGTAGTGGCCCCAGGATCTGTGAGAGGAGAGCTAAATAACATGTGGCTCTCCTCGAAAGTATGATGAGGTAAAGGAGGAGACAGCAAGTTCAAGTGGAATAAGATGTATACATAATTTCACTTAGTAAAGATAGTTTCCTTAATGTCTTGTTACCATACATCTCTTCAACAATAGGAGACATCACAAAATATAAGGTCAGCTTTTAGGCTATTTCTGTTATAAACTTTTTTTTTTAAATCATCACTGGCTTTTTCAGGTCTCATTTGTACTACTAGGTTTTCTTCAACTACATAAAAGATATACAACATCATTATACAATTACAATAAAAGTTTTTTCCCTGTTTCTGGTAACGCTTTCACTGAAATTGATTTTACCGTAGTGATTCTTAAATCTCGAATGAGGTTTTGTAAATGAATTAGACTCATTATTAAGTAGATTTGTTGTTTATAGTTGTGAATCATTTTATCACCGGAAGCATAGCAATAAAGTTTTCCAATTAATTATTCCCTTCTATCATGTGATAAGGGAACAGCAGTCAAAGAGGTTGTCAAGTTGATGTTATTTAATTAGAAATGATATCTTGTGCCCTCATTGAGTCTTCTTTTTACTCCCTTGTATCTGCTACACAGAGCATGGATCACCTGAAATGGACGACGGAGAGAGCAAAGCTTTGTGGGAATATTGAGTAGGGCTGCAGTCCTGCTGAATATGGGTCACAGACAACAAGCAGAAGAAAAGAGCACACTGCATCTGATGCTTTTCACAGCTGAGTCTCATTAATTAGCAATGTATGGTGCAAAATGTTAACTCACACACACTGTAGCCTGCTACACATATAAGCATAAAACAAACACACACAAGTATTTTTTTTTTTAAATGATTTCAGAATCGTTTTATTTGAAATGTCAGTGTTCAAGAGAAAATAAAACAGCAATATAAATATTAGCATAAAAATAAGAGAGTAACACAGGGGTATAGCGTGGGGGATAAGCATTTGATAAGAAAGATAATACAGCAGGATAGAATAGTATTAATTCAGCAGCGGACGGACACATATATAATATTTATAATCATTTGTTCATATGGACAGAAAGAGAATGAGAGGCATTCTTTCACAAATGCACAAGAAAAGGTCACCGCAAAAGAACATTAAGAGGTTACAGAAGGATAGAAACATTTCCATATTTTTTTTTTTTTTTTGTTTCTTTACAGGGTGATAAAATATAGTAGAGAGAAAATGAACACAAAAATATGCGCAACACATATCACAAGTTAACTAGTCTACGTGTGTCACTTTGTTTACTTATCTAAAGATGTCTTTCATTATTTATTTACACTGAAGAGTTAGTTGGCTTCCATGGTGCTTAGTTACTACATTGCAACACAAACTGTTGAAGAACATCTCAGATTTTTATTCATTATTGATTCTTTTTTTTTTGTAACTGTGGTTTTCTTATTTTTCTTGAAAAACAAAATGCAACACATTCCAGTAGTAAGCCACGCCTTGTGGAGAGGGACTTTTATTTTGAAAATGTTGGATGTTGTCCCTACTATACAAACAACTGGCTCATACCATCGACAGGACTTGTGTTTATTTACAGTGGGGAAGATCCTCACAGGACTAGGGGGTGAGGGGAGAGGTGAGTGGTACAGAGGCTACGGTGATTTTAATTGAGGTTTTTTTTTTTTTCAAAGGGCTCTCGAGTGGTATCTCCTCACCAACAGGGACAGCTGTGCTTGGCTCTGTTGACCTCTACCTGGGTCAGTGCATTAGAGAAAGTTTAAGAGAAGGACAGATCAACAGTGGTTCCTCTGTACATTCAGTGGGTAGAGCCAAGTTGTTCCCCCCCCCCGGTTGATGTAATGGGGTCCACCGAGCCTGTGTAACCCTCACCACTTCCCCTCCACTCCCCCTGACCCAGCCTGCAATCTGCCTTTTTCTCATGCAGTTGTATCCGGCCAGAAGCCTGACAGACAGATGGACGGCAAAGTAAAGACTTCATATCATAAAACAAACAATTCCTCTATGCTATTAAATCTCCCAAAGAAAAACATGTCTTTCTGCGTCACATCAAGAAGTTTCTTCAACACTTCGAGAGTGTGAGGGGTAAATACTCCTGCAAAGTGTCCAGGGACTCCTAAGAACTTAAGTTTACCACATCTATGCATTTCCCAAAAGAACGAAGTGATTACTACCCCTACATCTCATCTTCAAATTACGATCAGTGCATTTCTCTTTGTTTGGCTCCCAACGTGGGGAAGTGAGTGAGGGGAGGACAGGATCTGGGTGTGGAGGGGGGAGGCTAAAGGGTGCAGGGCAGCAGGACATGTTTGTGCCCACCTGGTGTTATATAAGACACACTGCTACCAGCAAGGACAGCATGGCTGGTGACTCAACACCATGCCGCCCCACCCTCTCCCTGCCCGTCCTCTGGGTGCATGCTCTGGTCATACAAATATCAGGAGATTCAAATCTTATTTTTCTTAAACTATGATTACAAAAAGGTTTTTTTTGTTGTTTTGAGTCAATTAAATGCTACATGTGCATTCTATTGACATGCGATTGGTGGGAGGATAACAGATTTAGGATGTCCTCCTCTTTGCTTTTGAAAATGCATAGTTTGCAACTCTAAACTAGTATATGTGGTTTGAACCTTAAAGAGCATGCAGAAGAGTTTGTAATACCTGTCAAACAACAGCCTTATATCATCAGGACTTATGCTTTAAGATCCTGCAAGGCTGATCCTATATAGGAATCTAATGGATGGCAACTAGCGTACTTTACAATAGCCGTCTTTCCGCCGTGGGAAGAGCACAATAAATCCAACATGAAAGACATTAACATTTCATCTCTGAATACATCACTGCGTATAGCCTTGTAATCCCAGCAAGGTTACTTACACTGAATCTCTATGTCCAAGATCATTTGCCAAAACAAAAACAAAAACCACAATAACCCCCCCCATACCCTGCCAAAATTATCTACTGACAAAGATTATGTGAGCAATACTAGACCTTTAGCACAGCACGGGTAATCAACACCAACAATAGCCTTCGGCACATTCAAGACACTTTCAAAGAACCATCAACATCCATCCAAAGTCCACGTGGTCAAAGGTGCTGCCGTTAGTTAGACCGTGGCTAACAAGAGGGACAGCAGAGCAGTAAGATACCTAATGGAGGGAGGGGGGGGGGGGGGGGGGTACGGGGGGTTGAATTTCTCATCAGGTCAGGGCGGGTTTATCTTTCCTCCATCTCTCTCCATCGAACTCTACTTCTTCTCCTTCTTGGTAGACTTCTTCTTGGAGGCAGGGGTCTGGGCGGCCTTGGGGGGCTCGGGCTGGGGCGACATCTGGGCTGACATCTGGGCCGACATCTGGGCCGACATCTGGGCCGCCATCTGGGCCGGGGGCAGCGCCTGCTGGGCTGCCTGCTGGGCAGTGGCCTGCTGCTGCTGCTGCTGGGGGTTTGAGGTGAGGGTGGCCGTGCTACCGGGGATGTAGACGTTCTGGCGATAGTCGGGCACGTGCTGCAGGGTGAACTGGGGGCTGTAGCGGGTGCTCAGGCCCATGGTGCCGGGTCCCAGGGTGGCCGTAGCCTCGCTCACTTCTGGGGGGAAGAGAGACAGAGTGGGGGGAATAAGGGGTGAGGAGGGAGAGGAGAGAGGGATGAAATTTGTTAGACAACCAGAATGTGAAAGTTTTAGTGTGACAGTGTTATATAAAAAGATAGAAATGGAAATGGGTCTTAAAAGGAGGTTCAACTACAAGATAAGGTATAAAGTTAAACATATCCTGCTGCTTAGGCAAAACATGAGGTTGCAGTGGGCTCATCTAAAAAGAGGCACAAGAGGTGTTACACAATGGCTGATTGTGTGCAGATGTTTTGTTCTTAACATAGATGAGGAAACGTCTCTCCTGCATCCTCCTCTGTGTCTCTATCTCACATGGCCTGAGTGTGTGTGCGCATGACGTAGCTGTTCGGCTCATAATTCTCCCACAGCCCCTGCATTGCAGAGCCTAAGACACGAATGCCCCCTCCCCCATCCTGTGGCTCCTCTCAGCCTATATAAACACTAAAAACAGACATGCTTACTGGCTTCCAAAGAGCCAAAGCAAGTGACTGAAAACACAATTTAATAATCTGCCTGCATTCACACAGTGCTTTGTCAATTCATTGCGGGATTACTCCTGCAGTGCGCTTCAACACACTGACAGTAAGTGTAGAAGAGAGAGGACGTTCAGTATGTATCACTGTTTTGTCTTGCCTTAATGTTGACAATATAACTGTTCATTTTGTCTCAATTTGTGCTGACACGCAGCTTACCACTATGTCTTTTTCTGTCTCTCTCTCTGACAGAAAAATTCCACACAACGTCCGGTGCAGTGTCCAAGAGGGGGAGGGTGTTATTGTGTGGGTGTAGAGGGAGGTGTGTCAGTGGTTTAAATTACAGTGGAAACAATGACTTGAGTCTATTTAGTAATAAATATGGTCAAGTTTGTCCCTCTGTCATATCTGTGTTTGTTGTGTTTGACTGTCACTATGTGGTGTTGCTTAGCCTTCTTTCAACACCAATTTAATGTATATTCTTCCATGTTATTGACTTAGAATTCCACAGTTTCAGCCCAAAGATATCCCCCCTTAGTGCTGGATACACATTCGCGAAATAGGCCAGTGGAAAGAGGACATTTTGTGATTTGGGAATATCAAATATAATATATGAGGCATGTAGCTCTATAGCCTTCTGCCTATTATAAAACACTGTGCATGTCATCAGTGTGTACAGTGGAAACATGCGTCTCTGAAGGTTGTTCAATTCAACACAACCACAGTGTGTATCTGAGGGACTGCAGGTAGTTACGTCCAGTCTGACTATCCTCTGGATAATTAACAGCACACAACCACGACACGGAAACATCAATGTGGACCGGGAGAGCTTTATCAATGAGCGAGGCTGGCTAGTTGCCCTCCAACCAAACAGGAACCTAAATAAACAAACTCTGCCCACGCACCCTCACTACGCTTGTGAAGAGATATACATTGGTTTGGAAAAGAAGAGAATAATCGATAGTAGGGAGGAAAAGATGACGAGGTATAGGACTCACCGTTAGCTGCAGCCATCAGGGCCTGGAGCTGCTCAGCCTCAGTTGGGGGCTGGGGCCAGGGGCCAGTTCCCATGGCAACCTCGGGTCCTCCGGTTGCACTGTGGCGAAAAAAGAGGAGAGAGCAACTGTGAATAACTGGTCATTTGTCCTCTATAATGTGTTTGTGTTTAGCTAAGGTTTGGCAGTTTGTGGTTCATGATGTAGCTGATGGAAAGTACACAGCCTGAGGGAAAGTCAACAAGGATAGCAATAATGACGTATAGTTCACAAAACAGGGTGTGTCCCAAACAAACACACACTTAAACACACTTTTGTCTGTCTGCACACAGTAGCAAGCGTGTTTCCGCATTCGAACACAGTTAACATAGTACAATGTTCACACTCTCTCTCCAGTGTGTCCATGGGCTCTGCGTGTTCTAGTAAATCTGATTAAATATTTATTGGTCCCACCTTTGAAGGAAATAGCTGTCTGCATAGTCCCACATGTGGTGCTCAGTAGGCACTGAACATTTCCATCTGGGCAAACCTCACCTTCAAAGGCTTGTTTATTTAAAGTCTGCGATTTGCATGTGGGGGCAACAAAGGAGAAAGCAGACCTGCGCAGTATTATGCTCACCTTGTTTCCATTCCCACACCAACACAAGCTGGACAACTAACAACTAGGTCACAATACTTTAATACCCCCTTTGCTCCTGTTCCCAATGTGTTAATTAAAGTCCCGTTTGGATTTTAAGATGGTAGTTTGATTGGCCACCACACTGCATTATGTTACCATCATTGTACTGACAAACTGTGTCACAATAAATAACTAACAAACGTCACTTCATTTCATTAGAAGACCAGCAGGAGTCACAACAAATAATCTCGAGCAAGAACAATTTTTACTTATCTCTTGACCTCCTAATTTGTGTGTTTAATACATTGGTTGTTTAACTGTTTTTGGTAATAACAAACCACCTGCACATTTAGTGGAAGATCATTAACCCACAGGGACATGGGTAAAAGATACAGCTCCAAAAAGGAAAAAAAAAGACATATCAAGGTCTCATTTCCAACTCTCTGACAAACACAGGCTGTAGTAATATATGAAAAATACAGGTCTGTATGTATACATATACATATATATAGATGGCATGTTGAATACATGTGAGATAAAGAAGAACTCTCTCTTTTCTATTTAAAACCAACGAAAAGAAACTCTGACAAATTGCTCTGCTCGAGGGAATTAAGAGAAAGTAAAGGACACAATAAGGCAAAAGGGAAAGGAATTCTAACATAAAACAGGGATTTGTTAAAGAGCAGGTTGCCAGATCTTACTGCCAAAACTCTGAAGTGGATTGTAGTTTGGTACCAGAGAGAGACTGAAGGAGAGAAGCAGGCAGCCAATGAGACAGGCTTGGTACGAGCAAGGTCAGTAAAGCCAGGGAAGCCATTTTGTGGCACTTCACATCACTTAAGATAAATAGGAATGCTTCATTTAAGCTAAATGATCAACTCTCTGTACTTATCACATCCTGCGGTTGTGTCAAGCACTTCCTGTGGTTAGGATGATCACTTCCTGTGGGCAAGATTGTGAACTGTGATCCAGATGGTTGTCCTTGGTTAGCAGGACAGGACCATGTGTTTTCCTCTGCAACCTAACATGACATGTTTTATTTCCAAGGATGGCTTGCCTTGTTGTTTGGTGGAGAACCTGCTGGACTTTAACTTGTTTCAGGCCCATTCAGCCAGTCTCACTGTGTACCTGCTGTTTACTTCATTGAGAAACTTTTGACATCCAACCAGCTTTTAAAGAAATCAATGATGGAACAGCTGTCTGTATTGTCTCTTTCTTGCTGTCTGCTGTTGATAAATCACATGAAAAAGCCACATGTGGTGATGTTGAGCTACAACCATCACAGACATACATCAAAGGCAACACTGTACGGTAGGTCAGTCTCCAAGAAGGAGAGAAAACAAGAGCTCTCGGAGTATAATGACTATATGTATAGCACACATAAAAGGCATAACAATTCTACAAAACACTGCACGCAAAAAATCCAAAGTTTCACAATCCTTTCTACGCCACAGCAGGCATTGTGGCCTATGCACATCGATCAACAAACCCCATCAAACTTTCAGGGAGACTAACAGAAGCTATTGGTTAGGTACATCTACACACAGCACAGCACTCAACTGCAGTGCACTACCTATAATATTTTAGCCACTCTCTGCCCTTATCAGCTGATTTGTGTTCAGGTCCCTTTTTCCCCCAACAGTGACTTGACAAAAAACGTTGATCAGCTCATAAGGACAGAAAATGACCATAACATGTCTACATCTAAATTAGTACCTTGTCCCACTCTTCGGCGTCCATCGTATGTGTGTACCGTATGGCATGTGGGGACTAGAAACACAACAAGTTATACAGAATGGAGGTAAGAAAAAGGAAAATGTTGAGATTTTGTGCTCTAGATCTCTGTATGTTGAGTCTGTCATATCTATTTAAAAAAACAATGGGAAGATAGTTTTCTATTTCTCCACCACTGAGATAAAGTATGTCCAATGTATTCCTCCTACCCCAGTGGAATTCTAGAATGACTGTGATGTGTGTGTGTGTGTGTGTCTATGAGTCTAACATTTTCCTGACTTGGCTCATCAGAGCGTTTTGCCCAGCTGGTATGTTTCAGGGAGAAGCCTTGACTCATAGAATGTGTTGTGCAATCATTGTTGTGAAAACTACCCGCACTCCATTTTAGCCCACACAACATGGGCAAATAGCAATCATCAACCATCGACATACAGAACACTCTCACTAAAACACACAAGTGAACTAAAGAAACATGTTTCATGTATTGTCAATTAAGCAAGTCAGAACGACATCTCAGATGGTAGAAAATGAAGAGCGCTGAAGAAGGATAAATACACTATCCCATCCCCCCAGTAGCTCTGGTCACAGTCCCTCATCAGTAGTACTGAGTGATGGTGCACAGGCTCAGAGAGTGCAGAGAGGAGAGGAACAGGAGGGGAGGGGGAGGGGAGTGGAAGCTGCGGCAGCCATTTTATAAAGCAGCCTGAAATCAGAGAGATGCTCATTCAGGAGACTAAACCGGGAATCTGAATTCACTGAGCAGGTCATGCTATAAAATGCAATGTTTTTCAAAATCAGATTGAAATGGTTGCACTTTGACTTTGATTTCTTCAGTATTTTACAATCAGCTCTCTGCAGGCAGCGTGGTATTATGGTTACAGCACTCACTACCATCCCCCTCCTGTTTTTATTCCTCATCCTTCATTTACGAGAAGCTTGCCTTGTGCAGCACAATAATATGTCCTTGACTTTACTGGGCATCTTATCACTGTGTGGTTGTGTGTGTCTCAGTTTACTCACCCACTAGGTCCGGGTCTCTGTCCCTGAGTGAAGCGCCAGTCATTGTTGGGGGGCTTTTGCTGTGAAGAGAGCAGAAGTTGCAACATGAATCATGTGTTTCATTGGGACATAGCAGGACGGTTTTGAGGTGTAACGTTTGGTTTGCAAGATGTTTCTTTGTGGTCGACACATCTGTGTGTGATGGTGTATGTCGTGTGTCTGTCTGTGATTTATAAAACATTTTCTGTGTCTCTATGCTTGAGGTTCAACAAAGGGTTACAGTTGGAAACAAATATCTGTATGCTCAGGCATCCATGTTGTTCCGAAAGCTGTGGAGCATAAAATGCTGCAGGGGACAAACACACACACGCACAGAGAAACAAACACACAAACTGGAGTGCTGCTTATAAAACGCGACTCAAAACAAAAGGAAAAAGGAAAATAATATCAAAAAGAGAGTTATTTCTAGTATAATAAGCCCATAAGATCTCCAAAGGACATTTAAACAGCATTTTGTCACTAAATGACCTCAAAAACACAAATAAATACAGACAAAACAAAACTATGACAACCCCCTTAAAACTTTTTAAGGTAAAGATTGGGGAGATTCCTTGCTAGTTAATACATGGCTTCCTATAACAATATTTGTAATAAATGCAGAGGGCAGAGAGAGTCCTTGAAAGGCTGCGTTGTTATTTTTATACCAAAACATTATGGAGACAAGGAAACAATGGTGGCTCCGCAGTGATAAAAGCCTCTCTCCTCTCTACTATCCCTTCTACTCTCTATGAATGTGTTCAAGCCCATTGCACTCTAGTCCATCTCTACCTCACTGGCCATGCCATCATGTCTTTTCCATCTCTCTACCACTTTCCCTCTCTCAGGCTCTCTTGTTGTGCAGTGATGCAGTGAATAGACCCTTGGCTTGGCTCCAGATTCTGCCGCCTAATCCACACAAGAGCTCCCTGGAGAAAGAGGCCAGCAGGATGATGTGCTGCATTATTAAAAGGGCTGTTCTACCCGAGGGAATGATGGAAAGAAGCAAGAGAGAAAACAGAACGAGAGAATACCTATACAAAAAGGTACAGTCATGACTGGAGCCTCTATTAGCATACAGGCAAACAAGAAACAAATGCACCAGTGAGTGGTGACTCATTGAATGCACATAAAGAAGGACAAGGCAAAGAGGGCTGTTGAAACAAGTGAAAAAGGGAATATGGTTCCTTTCTCAATGCAGACTAAACAAGTGACTGCCATCCTACATAAAGACAATTACAGAGAACTCAACTGTAACAAAAAAAGGGAGTGAAAGAAGAGACTGTGGTATGAAGTCTGGTTTCTAATGGACACTACAAAGGGAAGGAGGTAGTGTGAATTGCAAATATTCATAACAATAACATAGCAAATATTCAGAGAACAACCCTCTGGTCCATACACTGTAGAGTGAAAATAGCTGACAGTGGACCTCTTCTCATCCGAAAGAAAGGAAATATAAAGTCAGATAAAGAGAAGTGTGCTTAATAATGTCCAGATAAGTAATGCAACGCCAGAACTTACACATTTTCATTATTGCAACATAAAGCCATAGTGGATGAGGAAGAGCAGAGGAGGGCATATTTGATCTCTTATACTCCTTGCAGGGCAGAGCCGGGCTGATGTTTGGAGTCTAAAAATGGACTCAACGATGTGCGTGGGCACAAGAGTCTGTCTGAGCTTTGGTAGAGAGAGAAAGGGATCAGCACTGAGTGGAAGCAAACATCCACAGAGAGGCCCAGCATTCCAGCTGTGTGACTCTCTCTCACCACACAGACACACACTTGTCATTTCCAAGGTCTTATACCACTGCAGGCATGCGGCATAAAGGGTAATAGACTACACATGCTGGACCCCACTGCTGGTGCATGCTTCATTGAAGGCAACCTCACTGCACCTAAACATCACAAGCAGACAGGTAATATCCAGAAGAATGCAAACTCTTCTGCTCAAAAAGAAAGTCAAACCGATGGCCTTCCTATCACTCAACTAAAGATTGATTCAAATCCATTGACTTAAGCTCCAATTATCTGAGCATCTTTAAATGTGCATGCTGGATTCATCAAGGGTTATAAACTGATCACATGGGCACATCTGGATTTTATCCAGCATGTTTGAAGCTTGTGAATGTGAGCTAAAACATTTGATTTACTTCTTCACCACTTCTACACAAAGGTTTATCCAGTTGCTTCCAAATAAAACACAAATGTAATATATTTTTCTTTCTCTCCTCCTGACGGGTAAAACATACAGTAAAGGCAAACACGTCTTTTACACATACAGATCCATCTGGTACTCTTTATGTAATATTCAGGTTCATAACACGCAAGCTATTGATGTTAAAAGAACTTTGGCTGGACTACACTTAGTGCTTTGCCTGAAAACAGGAAGTTGAGTCTGTTCTGTTGCTCTGATAACCTACAGGGCCGCAGATACGGGTAGAAACGCAGGTAGAAAGTTGAAGATATCTAGAAAAAAAAGATTTGTAAACACTTACATGCTTGATCCATTACGTTATGAATTTGTAGGGTAGAGAAAAGCATAATGTATGGTAGATTAAAATATATATTATTTTCTTAAAAAACAATGATGACTCAAGTCACAAAAACCTTGAGGACAATTGTGTTTGTGAACCGCATGAGCTAATTTGTAGCACAACACACAGCTTCATCTTCCATAAAAAAAAAGCATATTTACAAAAGACTTGGTCTTACTAAGTGCACGTGCCAACATTTTAAACTACCACAGACTCAAAGATTGAAACACATGGTCATGAGAATATTTAGATCCTGCTTTAAACCTATGATTGTACTAGTATGGAGAGGGGAAGAATTGCTAAGATGACATTGAAGAGGCAACTTGGTGAGTCATGAACTCAAGATTACATGGCATGTTTCTGTGTCCACTGAGTGAGAAGGATCATTTAATCATGGGAATATTTTCTTCATTAATGCAAGTGCCATACATTTTGAAGGCCAATTGGAAAAAAGTAAACTTTTTTCAACATTACTTTTAGGAAAGACTGTCAATACAATTTTGCCTCCAAACGTCTATAGAGTTAGTACATGAATGCCAAAACAGCACATAGCAAATGAATAGAGGATATAAAGAAGGGCAGAGGGAATTGCTTGACAATTGGACTCCTAGGCCCCAGGGTCCTCCTAAAATTACACAACACTAGAGGCTCCTTGTGCCTGATGCGTTGAACACACAATCTCACAAGCAGGCATATAAACACCTACAGTGATGGCTGCTGCTCTTTACCCATTATAGCCTGTGTTGTCTGTCGCTGTGGCACACGTGCATAAAAGCCATGCTTCCTTTATCTTTGTTAACCCTTCATCTCTTTTCCTCTGTTGTCCTCATTGCACACGTGTTACAAGAACAGGGTGACAGATGGTACCCTGCTGACCTCAGGGACAACCTAATTTAGCACAGAGAGTGACTATGTAATTCAGACTGACAAGAAACAGGAACATCTTATGTATATTAAAAAGAGTCACCCTGTTGTGTGGTGAAGAAATTGTTATTACCAAAACACCACAGCAACAATATTGACCTTAAACTAAATTCAACATTTAATATGACATGGCTGTGAATAGACCCCGAGGATGAATGTTAAGGATGAGAAAACCTCATACGTTTTAACTATTACATTCCTCAAAGTGAGGCACTGTCAGCCATCCTCCCTGACAGTGCTTGCTTTGCATCAAAACACTTAATAGGTTGTTTGTGTCTTGTGTGATTTTTTTTACACCCTGCTCTTACAAATGGAAAAGGTGGTATTTCTGACCAAGGATCTAATAATGGAAAACAGAAATGTGTGTACAGAGCTCACACAGCTTCACTCATGTGATGCTGAGTCCTGGAACCAATCACAGAAAGTTCAGAGGACAACAGGAAGTCAGGGGTCAGGCCACTGACCCCATGAATTCCTGTTTTTCAGCTACTGCTTTATTCTTTGACTCCCCCCAGCTCACCATTTTGTTTCCTTTGCCCTTTTCCTCTCCTTCACCCCCGTCTCTCCCTCTGTCATTCTGTTACCCTCTGTCTCCGAGCCCTTCCACTGAGCCAACACTGCAGGATATTTTCATCTGTCTGTCTCCTCCTCTCCATCTGTTAGGAACACTCATGTTTCCCACTTTCAACTTCCTTTGACATTTCTTCTCCAACTGCCTTCTTTCTGCCCAACTTTCTTTGTATCTGTAGCTTTCACATCCATAAAGTTTAGTCACTGGAAGTCAGAGAGTAAGTAATAACCACTTAGTATTAAGTAACCACATTTCCTATAGCCTCAGGTCAGATTACATATTAACATGCTCTCTGCCCAATCCCGTCTAGTAGGACAACAAAGCTCTAGGAGCTGTTTTAAGGATCCTCCTGCAAGTGATGTTTCAGATAAAATACTGCAGAGCTAAGTGACAGAGGACATCTAGTTTAGCACTGTGTCAAGACTGAAAGCAATACAACTATGTTTTTAACCAATGTGTTGTATTGAACTACTACAATATCAAATAACTGCATGAGAAAACTGTTTTTTGATATACTTAAAGCATTTTTTAAACATGCCTATAGATACTGAACCTCCTGTATTGGTTGTATCCCACAATGGCATATCCCAGCAATTCCATGCTTGCTCTCAAACATAATCCCTCACCTCACTGGCTGAGTTCATAAGGTGCTTCCTGCTGAGTGTCATGTTGAGTGTGTTGTTGTGACTCATCATTGGTGTCTTCATAAATACAAAGTCACTCCGACTGGATATGGTGGAGTAGCACGGCCTGTAGGTGCGTGTGTGAGGGTCCTGGGAGTCTCCTACGACTTCCATATAGCGTATGGGACCATCACTATTTAGCTGCAGGTGCAGGTCCTTGCTTGGCCTCTGATGGTAGCGGCTGGGCCTGTTGCGACCGTAGCAGCAGCTGCAGTCCGAGTCCTCCAGCCCATGGCCACGGGGCCTAAGGCAGCGTACCATGAGGACGGCAAAGGTGATAAAGGACACCGCTGATACACAGGCTAAAGCGATGATGAGGTACAAAGTAATGTCAGACATCCCAGTGCGGTGGTAGAAGGGTGTGTGGCGGGGGCTTGGAGGAGCATCCTTGGGCGTGGCCTTCTCATCCACAGTTATTGAAATGTTCACAGAGCTGGACTTTGGTGGGTCACCATTGTCCTGAATAATGACCACAATGTCATAAGTGGAGCCAACTTCCTCCTCTGCCAAATGTCTGGCTGTGCGGAGGTCACCGCTGTGTGGTCCAATACGGAACATGCCAGCATTTGGTCCAGGGGCGATGGAGTAAAACAACCATGCATTGTGCCCACTGTCTGCATCCACCCCTACAAGTTTATTTATTAGGTGCCCTGGGTCGGCAGATAGGGGCACAGTGAACTCTAACCCTTTGTCTTTTGGGTAGTAGGGGTATACAATCACTGGCAAATTGTCATTCACATCCACCACAAACACATGGACTGTAACATTGGCTGTCCTTGGGGGCACCCCAGCATCCCGGGCCTGCACCTCAATACGGAAAGCTTTAAGCTGTTCATGATCCAGAGAGCGCATGCTGTGGATGTGGCCACTCTCTTGGTTGATGTAGACGTATGAAGAGATGGATGAGCCCTGGACCATGCTGGGAAGGATGGAGTAAGAGATGTGAGCATTTTCTCCAAGATCTTGGTCAGTGGCTGAGACAGCAGCGATGGGAGCACTGGGAGCATTGTTCTCTGGGATGTCCACGGAGTATGAAGGCTGAGAGAAGGTGGGGGCATTGTCATTCACATCAGAGAGCTTCACCACAAAGGTGGTTTGTGATGAAAGCGGAGGGGAGCCAGCATCAGTGGCCTTGATGACCACTGTGTACTCTGGGACAGTCTCACGGTCCAGATTTCCAGAAGTGGTGAGGCTGTAATGCATGCCAAAAGCTGAATTGAGTTTGAATGGCAAACCTGGTTGGATAGTTAATGTAACCTGCCCATTAACATCAGAGTCCAGGTCCTTAGCACTTATGAGCGCTATCACAGTCTCTGGTGCTGAGTCCTCTCTGATAGGACTGGTCAGTGATGTCAGGGTCACCTCTGGTGCGTTGTCATTCACATCAATGATTTCCACTATGACGTTACAGGAGCCCTCCATGGCGGGGGAACCACCATCTCTGGCCTGCACTGTGATGTGGTATGCATTGCCTTTCTCATAATCCACATCACCCTTCACACGGATCTCCCCGCTTTTAGAATCCACACTGAAAAGGTTGGTAACGCGTTCCTGTGAGTATTTACTAAACAGAAAAGATATGTCTCCGTTGTTACCCGAATCCGCGTCAGTCGCGTTCAATTTCGTAACTAAAGTGCCCCTTGCCACATTTTCTAAAAGCCTAACTTTCTTTTTCTGCTCATCAAAGATAGGAGCATTGTCATTTACATCCAGAATTTTTATGAGCATTAGTGTTGAGCCAGATTTCTCGGGCTGACCCCCATCTACAGCAATGAGCAACAGGCGAAACGAGGCCTGCGTCTCCCTGTCAATAGGTTTATTCACCATTAGCTCTGGAAACTTACTGCCGTCACTTTTCGTTTCGACATTCAAAATAAAAAAGTCATTTTCTGCGAGATGGTAAGTGCGCAACGAGTTTGTACCCACGTCTGGGTCGTGTGCGCTCTCCAAACGGAACTTTGTGCCTGGAGCGGCAGCCTCTGATATCTCCAGAGAAATGTTGCTGTTAGAAAACTGCGGTGCATTGTCATTCACATCCAGAATGTCCACCACGACTCGATGAATATCTAAAGGGTCCTCCAGTAGTATTTGAAGGTGCAGTGAACATACTGGACTTAATTCGCACATTTGCTCCCTGTCAATTATTTGTTTGATAACCAACTCGCCGGTCGCCTGCTTTACCTCAAAATACTGCGTTGATGATTCCGAGACCACTCGCAACCTCCTCTGTACAATCCCCTGAGCAGAAAGGCTCAAATCTTTAGCAATATTCCCAACGACAGATCCCGGGTTTAGTTCCTCCGATACGGAATAGCTGAGCTGAGCGGACGCACAGGAGAAGCACGCTAGATAAAAGCAAAGCCTCCATAGCCTCCCTCCTCCGGAGCGCTTCCTCTGTCTGGAGTCCATTGTGCTGCGCTCCGAGGATCGGAGAATGGGAAAGTTTTTCTTAAGTTCTTCTTTCACTTAACGTATCCATAGTAATGTTAAAACGAGACGGCCAGGTTTAACAGTAAACATCTCCATTTTAAAAACAGAGAGATGGGAGGTTTGGATGTGATCATTTCGGCCGTCTTTTAAGAAAAAAACGGAAACAAAATCAAAGTATTTTCTGCCTCCGCTGAAACCCTCTGCTCTGTGTCCTCCGCCTCACTCCCCACATGGGCGTGGAGAGGCCGCAGAGGCCGTCCCCCTCATTGGAAGACAGGGCTGGACCTACTCTGTCACTCAGCTCACACACAACACAGAGTGAAAACTTTCCAGTGACTACTAAACTTCCACCGACAGGCAAGGATCAGCCCTTTTCTCTTTGTAAAAGTGAGAGGACAATGCAAATAACAGAGGAATATGAATGAATTATTTTTACAAAATATACTAAGCATAGATGTTTGCATTTCTGTGGAAAAGTTCAGTCACGTGCTATCACTGAGAGCTGCTCATTATCAAAACAAAACAGTGTATCAAGCAGCTGCTATTTATAGCAATGCTATTTGTATCCGCAGGGGGGCATGGTTTGCAAACAGTTTTTTCATGCAAAAAGGTTTACGTTTACAAGGGGGTTCATTATAAAATACAACGTATTTTTTATAATATGCTAGCTACACAATGCCGGGATGAGGATCATTTGATCACAGGCTATGTAGCCTAAATTAAAGAACAACGCTTGGTTTGAGAAAAAAAAGCAACATTATTCGTATGATTGTTTTAAATAACACAAAAGTATAGTTTTTTTAAATGGACCTGAAATAAAGTGTGAGAGAATGACACACAAACTACTTTACCCTGAACATTGAAATTGAAGATGATAACCTTAATTAATGGAATGCCACATTAGAATGATTATGCTCTAGCTTATAATGAAGAATATTTTTAAAATGTATAAACGTTTCTTTACTGAAGCATATGCCTGCAATGTTTGTTTACACCTGTTTATTATAATTGGTAACCCCTCTGCCAGTGATGAAAAAGCAGATTGTGTTTGGTCATTATCAAACAAGAAAGTTAAATGAGCTTTTTCACATAGCATGTCAGCTGGAATCCCAACCTGGATTCTGACCATATATGAGCTAGCCATGAACACTTCTAGGCCTACTTCAAACCGAGTTTGTGTTCTTTTTATTGAGAAGCACAACACACGTTTCGTATTAATCAATTATTAAAAACAAATACAAACTCAATGAGGAGAATTCAGTTTAGCTCCCATTTCTCGGTACCACACAATGCCTTCTGGTTTTCTGCTCACCTGCTGGCTCTCAAAGGTCCAGGTGCTGTCGGGTAAAGAAGCATCCAGAACACTGATCACCTCCGTAAAGTCAGTGGTGCTGCTGGGCTTAATCAAAGTGAAATCACTGTACTCTGACATTGGAGACATGCAGGACCTGAAGGACTGACTCTGAGACATCATGTCTCCTCCCAGGACCTCCACGTACTTTATAGGTCCATCAGTGTTGAGCTGAATCTGCATGTTTCTGTTGGGGTTCTTGTAATTATCACAGTCGCTGCGTCTCATGCAGCAACTACCGCTGCTGCTGCTGTTCCTCATGCATTTAACCGCTAAGATGAGAAAAGTCACCAGAGACAGCACGGACACCGAGGCCAGAGAGAGAATCAAATAAAGGGCGATTCTCCCAGTTTTCCTGCTGGGCTCGGCCGTTTTCTGTCGGTGGTCTAAGATGGGCTCATGGAGGCCGTCCTCCAGCAGGATGGACACCGTGACGGTGGCGGACTGCATCGGTTCCCCGTCGTCCTTGATCTCTATAAGCAGCCTCTGAGAGGAGTCGTCTTGCTCGGACGCAGCGCGTTTAGTCCTCACCTCCCCTGTGTACAGATTGACAGTGAACAGAGAGGCGTCTGTGGCCTCTGCCAGTTTGTAGGAGATCCAGGCGTTATGGCCCGAGTCAGCGTCCACGGCCGTCACCTTAGTAACCAGGTGACCCGCTTTAGCGGAGCGAGGCATCCTCTGGTGAGAGAGGGAGCCCAGGACAGCGGAGGAGGGGTAAATAACAGCGGGGGCATTGTCGTTCTGGTCCAGGATAAAAACATGGACAGTGGTGTTGCTGCTGAGAGACGGAGAGCCCTGATCCTTTGCCTGAACCTGGATCTGAAACACCTTCAGTTTCTCATAGTCAAACGAGTGCATGCTGTAGATGCTGCCGTTATCTGAGTTAATATAAACATAAGACGAGACAGAAACGTCCTGCACTTTAGAGTCCAGTATGGAGTAGGAGATTTTAGCGTTTTCACCAAAATCCAGGTCAGATGCTGATACTGAGTATAGTATTGAGCCTGGCACCCCATTCTCTTTTAAATACACATTATAGGATGGCTGAGTGAATAAAGGGCGGTTATCATTCACATCACTGATGCTGACAGGTATAATTTTCTTACTTGACAGAGGAGGGGAGCCTGAATCAGTGGCTGTTATCTCAATATTATATTCTGAGAAACTCTCTCGGTCTAAAGCACCACTGGTTACCAAAGCATAATTATTAGAAAAAGAGGGTTTCAGATTAAAAGGTGAGCCTTTGGTGATTTGTAACGTCACTTTACTGTTATCCCCGGAATCAAGATCTCGGGCACTAATCAAAGCAACCACGGTACCACTTGGTGCATCCTCTCGCACTGGCTTTGGTTGGGAAGTGAAAACTATTTCTGGAGCATTATCATTGAAATCACTTATATCAATCTGCACTCGACAGTGGCCCTCCATTTCAGGACTTCCTTTATCTTTTGCAGTTATATCAATGTCATATGACTTTGTAATTTCATAGTTTAACACCCCCTTTAGAGTGATTTCACCAGTTAAGGGGTTAATATCGAAGATTGACAATAAAGAATCTGGTGTCCGAGAGCCGAATGAGAATTCAATTTCACCATTTAGACCTTCATCTGCATCAGTTGCTTTTGGTTTCATAACAATAGCGCCCTTTACACTTTGTTCACCTAAGGTTACTTTGTAAACGTTTCTTTCAAAAACCGGGAAGTTATCATTAACGTCTAGCACGCTTATGGTTATTTGTGAGGTTCCAGATCTAACTGGATTCCCACCGTCTAATGCTGTCAGTAGTATTTTGTGAACTGCTTTTTTCTCACGATCTAGAGGCTTTTCTAAAACAAGTTCCGGGACGGTCTTACCACCCTCAATTTCTTTTATTTTAAGGGAACAACACTCATTTTTACTAAGAGTATATGATTTTAATGAATTGCTTCCTACGTCGGGGTCCATTGCGCTCTCTAAAGGAAAGCGTGTGCCAACTGCTGCTAATTCGACTATTTTTAAAGATAATTCTTTTGAAAGGAAGTTCGGAGAATTATCATTAATATCACGTATTTCGACCTCTATTCTGTGTAACTGTAGTGGGTCTTCAATAACTACTTGCAGAGGTAAAACACAGCTGGCACTTTGTCCACAAAGAGTCTCTCTGTCTATTCTGTCATTCACCAGCAGTTCGCCCTTCCCTGCATCCACACTGAAATACTGCTCTCCAGCCTCAGAGGCAACACGCAGTTTACGATCAAAAATCTCAGACAGTCCCAGACCCAGATCTTTGGCTAGATTTCCTACCACAGAGCCCTGTTTTAATTCCTCCGGGATGCTGTATCGAGTCTGTCCATTTATTGTGCTCCACAATAGAAAGAAAGTATGCCACCAAAGCGCCTGCCATCCCCAGTCTCGGTATATTGTCTTTGTCATCCTGGATTCAGTAAAATACATCAATTCCAATGCACGTGAACAGCGAACACAAAGTCAACATCCATATTCCAAGAGCGTGACATATTCCATAAAAAATACGCCTGTTCATGATCCAAAATACAATTAAGATAAATCCGAATTCTCCGTGTAAATGCAGCATTAACGTGCTCTCCTCCCATCCCGAGCATCGGGTTTGGTGCTGAAGCTGCATGGGGGAGGGAGTAGATCTCTTTGTACAGTTCAGAATCCTATTGGTGCACAATATCTATCTCTCACATCCAATGAGAGGGAAACTGAGCAGCGTCGTTAAAGACACACTTACCCCTTTTACACTTTCATGAAAGAGCAAGTGAAACACATTAACGAAATGCCGTTTAAATGTCCATGCCATATGTAAATTGATAACATTTATTAATATAATCATCATTATATAAACGATATATTTACTGTCTACATTCCAATTGATGACACTGTATTTATTTCCCCTGATTTTGATACTAAAAAGCCATCAGCGTTAATGTAAGTAATTGTGTGTCCAGAACATGTAAATGAGCATAGTTTTTTAGTGTGTGCGTATCAATATTCCAATTACTTGTATATAGACTATTCTGCACTATTTATATTATATTCTATTTTATTTTATTTACTTGCACTATTATTTGTTTTATTGTTGTTGCACTGTTGGAGGAGCCTGTGACCTAATAATTTAATTGTCATAACTACACTGTAAACAATAACCCAAATGTAACATTTCTATTGAAATGTTATAAGGATTTTTCACTGCAAAAGTAAAAGCTGTGCTTCATTGCAGTTACTGTAGCTGATGTAACTGTGAAGTCCATTGTTTGGTTACTATCTGCTCACCTGCTGGCTCTCAAAGGTCCACGTGCTGTCGGGTAAAGAAGCATCCAGAACACTGATCACCTCCGTAAAGTCAGTGGTGCTGCTGGGCTTAATCAAAGTGAAATCACTGTACTCTGACATTGGAGACATGCAGGACCTGAAGGACTGACTCTGAGACATCATGTCTCCTCCCAGGACCTCCACATACTTTATAGGTCCATCAGTGTTGAGCTGAATCTGCATGTTTCTGTTGGGGTTCTTGTAATGATCACAGTCGCTGCGTCTCATGCAGCAACTACCGCTGCTGCTGCTGTTCCTCATGCATTTAACCGCTAAGATGAGAAAAGTCACCAGAGACAGCACGGACACCGAGGCCAGAGAGAGAATCAAATAAAGGGCGATTCTCCCAGTTTTCCTGCTGGGCTCGGCCGTTTTCTGTCGGAGGTCTAAGATAGGCTCATGGAGGCCGTCCTCCAGCAGGATGGACACCGTGACGGTGGCGGACTGCATCGGTTCCCCGTCGTCCTTGATCTCTATAAGCAGCCTCTGAGAGGAGTCGTCCTGCTCGGACGCAGCGCGTTTAGTCCTCACCTCCCCTGTGTAC